GCAATGGAGAGGGGGAGTAGGGAGGGCGACGCGGGGACTGGGGGGCAGAGTGCTTTGCTTTTGCTTCTTTGCGGAGGAGCCTCTCGCTTTGCTTGCCTCTTCTTGTCGCACCAACTTGGCACCCGACGTAGATGGAGTCGCTGAAGTGGTGCGAGGGGACTACGCCTGGACGAAACACGCAGGGACAAACTATTACGCCAACATGTTTTTCCTTCTTCTCCGCCCCGCGTCGGGGGATTGTATTTTCCCTCTTTTTGTTTTTGTTTTCCCGCCCGTGGTTTTTGGGTTCTGTTGCGTTGCCTTCCCGGCTCACTTTGGTGCCCCGTGAGAACGCCGCCCGCTCGGCGCTCGATGGACACGCCGGCAAGCGGCGGCTCCGCTCTGCCGGTCGCGGTGTTGCCCAGCGGCGTTGGGCGCCACGGCCCGCCGCACGGTGGCAGTGCCGCAACGCCTCTGGTGTGGGGGTGCCTGCGCCGCGCCCGGTGCGGGGGCTTTCCCGCCGGTGGCGAGCTTCAATCCGTACGGGCGTCGCGTGGTCGGGAAGATTGAGCAGAGAGAAGGCAGGGCATAACGGAGGTGCACGGCCGAGCAGCAACGTGGCACCACGCGGGAGCGATGCGACGGCGATGGTGGCGTGCGATCCGTGCGAGAGACCAACAACTACAGCGGAGACCTGCAGGGGTGTGGGGGAAGGTGCTGGTGCCTTGCCACGAAACCGCCGCGAGCACAGGACAAGGGCTTCGACGTGCCTTGCGCGTTACAGACCGCGAAACCCGTGCCCTGTGCATCGTATACTTTGGGCATGGAGGTGCCTGCATTAGCTCCCTTCAGTGGGTGGACGCGCCACACGGATGTTGTCCTGTTCTTCGGTCCTGCGTTGGTGCCAACTGCCAACGTTTGCTCCGAGTGGATGAACCGTGTAGTTTTTGGGTGTTGTTTTTATTTTCCTTTTTTTGGGGTCCTGTTCTTGTCTGTTGTTAGAGGGGACTTGGCAGCGGCGCGGCAGAAGGGGGGTCCTGTGCGGGGGAAAACGTGGATGGGGGAAGCACCTGAATCGTCCCCGTCTCTGTGCTTTTTCGTGTGTGTCTTGCTTCGGGGGTGTGAGCGCAATGACGAGGGGATTTGTCCACTGTGTGTGTCCGCTGCGGCCCCGCATTCGGGAAAAGGGTGACGTGCACATCTACGTGCGTGTGTGTGTGTGGGAAGGACCATTTCCGTGACGGGGGTAACTTCGCTTCGGCTTCAATCGGGCGGGTTCCGTCGGTTATTGCTGCTT